ACATTTATGCTTCAAGTTAGAGCTGCTACTTCTGCTATAGACACCTATGAATCAGTGAAGAGCCTCTTTGCTCCTAGAAACAACTTCTGTCCTTCTTATTAAAAAAAAATTTTTATCTCCATTCCTTCGATGTAGCTTTCTGCCAACCAAGGGGTGTGGTACTTGTGTGTGTGAAGATTTCTATGCCTACATTTAATCACTATTTTAATGGAATTCATACTTTACTTCAAAGGAAGTGTGAACTAACACGCAGGCTATGTATACTTCCTAATTTTTAGCCTATTAATTCTATTATGTGTCCTTGCTATGCACAGCTCTATAGGCTCGTGTATTTTCAGCTTAATCCAATGACACTGTTTTTCATTAGTGTAAATCCCTTCATCACTCTCCCGCCATTCCACTGGGTCTTAAGCAAGAGGACTATATACTAAAGGGGTTGTCACTCCAAGAGGAAATAGACGAGAGAGAAGAAGAAGAGGAAGAGGAGGAGGAGAGTGAGGAAGAAGAGGAGGAGGAGGAGGAGGAAGCACCAGATCAGGTAAGCAGAGCTCTTATGTACACATAAATTACTGATAGTAGAATAATGTAAAATTTACAAATTTGATGGAGTAAATTTTGGTGAATTTGGCAAAATAAGGTCCATTTGGCGAAATTTTAGTCTTCAATTTGAAAGGGCTTTCCACATGCACATAGCCAAATTCAAGCTGTTTAGAGACAGTTTGTCCAATTTTATGCTTCAAATTTTGTAGCTATACAGTGATTAGTTTTATTGTGGGAATTGTACTATTATTTGTTGATAAACAAAGTGTATTTCCCTCCTATCTCTCAGATGAATGATTACTATGAAGGTGACAGTGATATAATGGAAGGAAATATGACACCTCCTCCTGTAAGACCAAAGCACACACACATCTAATTATTTATTATATGTAGGAAGTGCAGCCACTTCATTTAGGGGACATGACATAATGTATGTGAACAGAAAGACCTGAAAACTTAAACACTGACCAGCACACAAACTCTAAACAAAGTCTGTGTCAGGAATGAATACATGTAGTCACTTCAATTTTGAAATGCACCATATCATATCACTAATGATGTTGATTATTTCATTATTATTCAGTAACATTATTTGGAGGGAAGTGTTGTGCAGCATATCCTGGGTTTGGTATTATTGCTTAACGTTTGTAGCTCATTTTGCATAAAATGTAAGTAATTGCATTATTCTTATCAATGTTTTGTGTGTGAAGCAATGCAAACACACAAACACGTAGAATCAATGCATGTAAGAAATAGATTGAAACAATAAAAAACAAAGATATTTATGCATGTGAATGTAAAAAATAATTACAGGAGATATAGTCACCAGCATGTAGACCTGGAATGGACATGCATGGAAACATTGTCAGTTTTGATTGATTGTATGGAAGTTATCTATCATCATGCATGACATAAAGTGCTTAGTTTCTGTAGCATCGCATTTATAATGAAATGAACTTAAAATTTATTATCATAATAATTATTATCAAACTAAACAACTATACAATGATAGCTACAATCTTGCTAATACTAAGAGTACCTAATGTACTCTTTGCTACCAAAAAAGTTCAAGTTCTGAGTTATTTTCTCAATAGTATGCACTGAGGTTGATCAGCTTAGCTGGTTTGGCACTGCTACCTGCCCACCAAAAGACAATGTTGCGTAGAGTGTTGATATTAAGCCTGTGCCTGTAGGCATGAAGTATACGTCCATTGACAAGAATAATAAAATGAGAGTGATGCGCCTCAACCCTTACAGTGATAGGAACACCAGAGCTGAAATCAAACCCTCTTGGTCTCTCTTCATGTCCCCAACGCTTATTATAATATGTATTGAGGACTAAGACACGAGTGTCCCAACGAGGATTAACATGAAGAAGGATGTTACCATGTGCGTCATAAAGATCCATTGTGGGGCGACCATTGTTTGGAGTAATGTACCTCACCTCCACTGCTCTTCCAACAGAAAATTGATGTGTCATAATAGATTCAGCGACTGTAGCTTGAATGTTGGAGAGATCTTGAGATCCAGAGGGTTCTTGGACTTTTGGGATCATGTTATAAAAAGCTTCCATTTGTGTCATTGCTTGGGTCTGCTCTTGATCCTGCTCTTCAACCTCACTTTCCATGGCATCAAATTGAGATTTATCTTCTTCTGTAGCAGCAAACTCAGACTCATCTTGCTGATAGAGATTAGCAGCAGATGCTGAAAAGATAAGTAATGCAGAGAGAAACAAGTAAACAAAGGAATGCATTTCTACAGTCAGTGTTTTGTTTAGAGCTATAGTTGCAATTCACTCTGGTTTAGATGGTAAGAGATGATCCTCCTTTTATATAGCAAATGAGATTTCTCAAATTAATAAATTATTAATTCCTTTATGAAACTGCATCATAGCATCACATGATGTACTATTGTTTTTGTTCATTTGTTCACCCATGCCTAAGCTAATTGAAATGTCTATACTATGTCCTAACTGAGTTTGGATCAAGAAAACCATGAAGTTTCATAGAAATATGGGATTATTACATTTCTTATTACATTTATTATTATAGTTTTTATATGCATTAGTGAGGTAATATATGCATGGAATATTTGTCCTAAAGAATAGCTCAAAATTTAATGCATGCCACATGATGCTGGCAAGGATCTATAGATAAAATTAATATCATGAAAACTAAAAAAATTCTGTTAGCAAAATTTAATAAGGGTACACTGCATAGTTACACTAATACTATAAAAGTCCTAATAATACTAAAAAAAGTTCAGTTCCAAGTCTTTCTCAATAGTAAAGACTGAGGTTGATCAGCCTAGGTGCTCCATTGCTGCTGCCACTACATTTCACCCTCACCAAAAGTACCAGTTGCAATCCTTTCTCCAGACATGGGGTCAAGCACTAGGTAATGTGCTTAAACACAAACACAAGCACTTAAGGCCTTTTCACACTGGCCAAAGTAATGCGCATTGATGCGCATTAATCGTGTTCACACTAGAGTGGTTTTCAATTAATGCGCATTGATGCGCATCAGTCTCACTTCACCTCCAGAGGTGGATTGATGTGAAGTGATGCGCTTCGATCAATGTAAACCAATGGCAACAAGAACACAAAATGATACATAATTCAGCTGCTAGTGTGAACACGATCAATGCGCATTATTTCAGCTGTATCAACAAAGCGCATCAAAGCGCTTTGAAAACTGTGCCAGTGTGAAAAGGCCTTTAAATGTGTTAGAAGTACCAGCACAAGCACAATCTATAGCTTTAACATAAGTGCTTAAGTACAAGAACAAGCATTCTCCAGAGTGCTTAATTACATTAATAAGTACTAGATATTCACTAAGTATAAAAATAAAGTAAAATTACAATTATAGTTAATTTACTATTGCATCTAATAAACACTAACTCTGTGAATTGTTCATAATAAATGAAAACAGGAGAGAGCTTTGGAGTGATATCACTAATGGTGATACCATTACCATTCTTCAAGCTAACACACAATCACACAATGTGCTACTAAACTTGTATACTACATGTACATGTACCATGTAGATGTAGATGTAGATGTAGATGTACATATACATGTAGTGGTACGTGTACATGACATCGACATATAGATGTACATGTAGATGTACCATGTAGATGTAGATGTACACTATTCGTGTGTAATTTTTGCTGTGCTTAAAAGCACTTTTGTAAATTTGTAAAATTAATTAAGTACAAGTACAAAGCACATAGATTATATTGAAAAGGTACTTGCAAGCAGCATTAAGCACTTTGAAAGCTGTGCTTAT